CTACGGGCCCGAGAGAGTCCCATCACCGCAGGGCCCGGTACCCACCGCGATGGAGAACCGCTGGATGCCGTCCCCCTCGCAGTCCTGGATGACCTGGGGCAGCCGGTGGTTGTCATGGGACTCCCCGTCCGTCACGATCACCATGACTTTCTTGACGCCCCTGCGGGCGCCCCGGGCCTCCATGAAAGCCTCCTTCCTGAAAGGGTCCAGAGGAGAGAAGCTGGTGAACCGCCACCCGGGGTGGGGGAGCCCCGGACAGGGCCCCAGGGAGCCACTCTCCCTCCCCAGTCAGGTCACCGCGAGGCCAGGACTCGCACGGGCTTAGGTTTATCCGGATGTGGAGCAGCCGTCCTGCTGACACACATCCCGGCACAGAGGCCGCAGCCTTTCCTTCCGGGGACACTCAGAGGGGCAGGTGTGACGGAGCGGTCACCGCACTTAGGCCAGATCTGAACGCCCTCCCGCCACTCCCTGCTCCACAGTGCAGGTGGCTTTGGTCGGAGTAGGGACGACAGGGTGATGGGCCCAGGAGGCCTGGGGTCGCCATGAAAGAGTTGGGGACCAGGTTTAGGACACAGGCTGCTGGGGGTGGGGTGGGAAAAGGGGGCACGAGAGAAGGGAAAAGGCTGTAACCGAGTGGCCAAGACAGGGACTGGGGTTTAACTCCACCCAGCATCTCGGAGTGAGATGAAGGGAGGAGAAATGGACGGTCTGTCTGTCTTGTGTGTTTTGTACACACACTTCCCCTCTACTTTTTCCTTTCACTCAACTCACGTTCCTTGCGGGGGTCTTAGTAGAGAAGAGTACATTCTACTGAGGACCGAAATAATAAAGGGCTGTATGTACTATTTTTCACGTTTTGGTATAAAATGCAGCAATCGTTGCACTGAGTGGTCCTCTTAAACATTTTACTCTGGTCCTGGGCGGAACAGCTGCAGCTTGGGTTATGCCAACATCTCTGAAACCGCCTCCCAAGCCGTTTGCACCATCTGCCTCCGTTTCCCGCAGGTCAGGCACGCAGTAGCCGCGCAGGAGGGGTGCTCTCCGTGCAGGGAGAGCGGGCCTCGGGGATGTGCACAGAGGGGTCTGATCTGTGACCGTTTTTCCTGGAAAAGGGCTTGAAGCAAGCTCGACAAGCGACCACCTTCCACCTTTATCCTGCTCAGTGCACACAGAGCGTTTTGCTGCACTGAAATTTTTACATTTAAATTTTTCTTAAAATTTTCAATAGAAAACAAATTAAAAAATACTGGCCATCGGGGACCTGTGTCTGCCGTCTACACTAGGCAGTAGGTTCCCTGACTTCCCTTCATGCACAAGCAAAGGTGAAAACAGACGCGAGAGGCTGGTATGTAAGCGAAGTTCATGTACGTCTCATGGAGTCCAGTCCTTACGGTCCTGTGCCTGGGGGGGGGGGTCACCTGCCCTCCCCTCCAGAAGACAGACAGCAGCCGAGGGTGGTGGGCAGACCTTCCCTGAAGCACATGTGGCGGCCCTGAGACCAGCACTGGCTCCAGGTGACGGAGGAGTCTGACGCCTGAGTGCACCCTTCTCTCAAGTACCGTCAGCAAATCACCCTGGGCCCCCAAAGACTCGCCCCAGGTTCTGTCTGTAATTTAAACCCCGGCCCCCCTGTAGGCCTGTAAACATGGGAACATCCCAGGGGAGCCCTCTCCTTGGGATAGGAGGGTCCGGGCCGAAGAAAGTAAGAAAGAAGGAAGAGCCAGCATCACATCCACTTCTTGCAATGTGTGCACTGAGCATGGTTTCAAGTAAGGCAATAACATGTTTTTTAGATTGAGAATTCTAGAAGCTGGGAACAAAGACTAGAGGGAAAGATAGTCCCTCCTGGTATGCCGTAGTGCCCAAGAGCACGATGCCGTAAACCAGTGGTCGGCAAACTGCAGCTCGCGAGCCACAGTATGATTGAACGTGTGAACTTACTGCAAAGGAAGGAAACTTGGGGCAGGGATAGGGGGACACACACGCATTTTGAACTGGGGGACACGGGACATGGAAGTCAAGGATTCTTAAGAAACCAAAAGTAGTGTTTGAGACTGGCGCTGCCCGAAAGCAGTAAGCAGCAATTAAAAATATCCTCAACCGCGAAAAACGGGTGGACAAGAGGACTGCTGAGCCCTGTCACAGGGGTTCATTTATACACAGAACTCAATGACCTCTGTGCGCCCACCGCACGGGCGGCAGCCACGCAGGGCGTGGTATCCAAGTGGGACTGTGCAGGGCAAGGGGGCCGGAACCGCGCTCCAGCGAGTTTTCAAAGCTGCGTATTCATGCTGCAGCGGTCGCCTCGGGGTGCACAGCGAGGCCCCGGGGCTCGGAGCGGTCAGGGAGTGTTGTGGCTGACCACTGTGGCTGACCGTGGGCGGCCACACTTGGCCGAGACCCAGGGAGGCCTCAGTGCGCCCAGCTGTGCTCCGTGCTGGTGGCCCCGTCCGTGGGCAGGGACCTGCACAGTGGCCCCCGCTGCGTGGGGTTAGTTTCTCTTGGGCCCAGATAACGGCAACACATGCTTTTCTAACGCCGATGAGGCTAAAGCTGCACATGGAATTAACATTTCTGACTATCCAGCCCCTTCTTTGGAGTTTGTGAAGCCCCGATCTCGGCAGGCAGGCGAGGGGCACGGGCACCGGCTCTTCAGGGTCAGGGGGTCCCGGGGCAGAAGCCACGGCTGAAGGCTCTTAACACCAGACAAACGCCTGTCAGATTTGGGAATTGTCCAGTGTTTGCTCCGTGTTTGCGCAGAAGCTTACGAGTTCTCACGGTGACACGCAGAGGAGCAGGGGGAGAGAGAGTTGGAGGAGATGGGAAATCCAGAAAGAGCAGGTCTGTGCTGCAGAAAGGGCGGGCCAGCGGGCTCTTGTAGAAGGAGGTCCAGCCGCAGAGTCGGCAGGGGGGAGGCAGGGGTGGAAATCGGAGGGGATTTGGAGAAAGTAAGAAAGAAGAAAGAGCCAGCATCACACCCACTTCTTGCAATGTGTGCACTGAGCATGGTTTCAAATAAGGCAATACTGGACGAGGCCTCTTAAACTCCTGTTTGAGAGCTCCCATAACCCCAGGTCGGTGCTGGAAAATGACAGGCATACGAGGATGTAAATATGTACCAAGCAGAAGTGCACGGACCATGTTTTTTAAATAGAAAATCCTAGAAGCTGGGAATAAAGACTAGAGGGGAAGACAGTCCCTCCTGTTATGTTGTAGTGCCCAAGAGCACGATGCCGTAGACTACCGGGTTTTTGATCGATTTTCCATCGATTTAACCCTTGGAATAAACGGAAAGAGAAGAAGAGAGACTGTATTATAGAAAAACCTGATTCCGGAACTGCAAGCTCACGGCCGCATCCAGCTTTAAACAAGATGGCTTTAAGTACCAGCAAGGTGAGTGTTCGCTGCGCGCTGCGAATGGCCAGGCCGGAGACGCTGGCTGTGGCGGGTTTGGCGGCCGCGTACCTGGCTGTGTCGATCCCGAGGGCGGTCATGGTCTGGCGGCCGCCTCTCTGGACGATTTTGTTGGCAGCGAGGAGCACGTCCTCCGTGGAGGAGTAGGTGTTGAGGTTGAACTCGTGGGTCACGTTCTCTCCGTACTGCACAATCCCCACCTGAAAAGACCAGCCGTGAGTCAGCGGCCCAGCAGCGGGCCCAGGCCCAACTTCGTGCAGGTTCAACATGTATGTGAGGAGTGACCCATCTGCGTCTCAGCGAGTGTGAGAATCGACGGGAACACACCTCCTCCTACTTCGACAGCAGTAACATTACTCTTTGCGGCCAGCCAGAGCCCAGAGAACAATGAAGGTGCCGTTGTCAACTCCTTAAATGGTCGGTCTGTCCCTTCGGCAGTTTTCACTGCAGACACGAGTGGGCCACAGGGGCTACACTGGGACCCCCCCCCCCAGGGTTTGCCTTCGCTCCCCCGGAGCTTATAGGCTACAAGACAGAGATCCAACACATGATTGCTCAAACACACGCCCAACTGCAAACCATGACAAGGTCTGTAACGGAAAAGCTGTTATTAGCAAGTTCAACCTCGGGCCCTAAAATGGGGGCTCAGGGAAGAAACCTTACTGGGTGCTATGCAGACAGAGGCCTGTCCGGGGTGGAGGCTGGGAGGAAGGATGGAGTCCAAGGAGGGAACTGTGGACGCGAGGAGCTGAGATGGGGAAGAGGGAGGCACTGTCCCAAGAACAGGAAGACAGTCGGTGACCCTGGACCAGGACTGCGGGCAGAGGGGAGCTAGAGAAGGTTCGATGCGCAAGCAGGGGTCACCGTGTGAGGGATGCACCTGGCTCAGCCCTTCTCCCACCCCTTTTGCTCCTGTCTTCCCACTCTCCCTGCCGTCCTCCTTCATTATGTTTTAAATATATTTAAAGAAATATATTTTTATTGATTTCAGAGAGGAAGGGAGAGGGAGAGGGAGATAGAAACATCATTGATGAGAGGAAATCATTGATCAGCTGCCTCCTGCACGCCTCCTATTGGAGATCAAGCCCGCAATCTGGGCATGTGCCCTTGACCAGAATCAAACCCTGTCCTCCTGGTTCACAGGTCAATGCTCAACCACTGAGCCACACTGCTGGGCACTTCCTCCTTCCTTTCCCTCTTAGTCACAGATTGGGTACTACAGGCAGAGCCACGTAAGAAGACAAGAAAGGTAACATGCCCCAGAGTCAGTGTCCCTGACAATCCGTGATCCTCTCTCCCCCAGAGATGCCCATTCCCCCTGTTCCATTTTCACACCCTCCTTTAGAGGTGGATGTGAACCAATAAGCTAATCCACAACAAGAACTGTGCCTGAAGATACCTGTTCTTTAACTTTCTACCCCAAATCAGGGACTCGGAAAACTCTCTCCCCCAAACGGATGTTTTTTTCACGCAGGAATCCTGGCACCGAATCTCCCGGGCAGTGGATGGACGCGGAGGCCGGGCTGCCTTCTCCGAGAAGCAGCCGCCCAGTGTGCCCACTGGTAGAGTCGCCGGTGGCGCTTGCCTGAGAGCCAGTCCTACCTCCAAGCAGCCCAGAGGGTGAGCATCGCCTCTCCGGCGCCCCCAGCTGACACCACGGTCCTCAGAAACCTGTAGGCTCCTACATCGTTAGTCTGATTTATAGTTATAATTCCATAGCTATGTCTTTCTGGAAACCAAAAGCGGATGCTGGCATTTGCAGAAGCAAATGAGAGACTCTCCAATTTGAAAGAACCGTATTGTCCCTGGGCTGCTTTGCGGAGTGTGCCGGGCGTCTCGGGGCGATTGGGCTGCCTCGCCTAGAGAAGAGTCCCCTCCTGTATTGTTACTGTTTCTTAAAAAATGCTCTGTCCTAATTTATTTAAATCAGTGTGACAGAAATTACCTCCGCATTTTCTACATAAGGAAACTGGGTTTAAAAAACTCACTCCCGCTGTGAGAGGGCAGGAAGGGTGGGATAAAGATGACCGGACGTCCCTTTGTACAGCCTACCAATGACACACACAAATGAAGTGATGAGTACACATCCATCCCTTCATTGCAGGCTCTCTTCTTGACTTAGAATGAAATGCCATCCACTATTCTCTACAGAGAATTAAATTCTCTTCCCAATGACACAGCTATTCATGGGTGATCCAGGGGGCCATGGAGTTATTATTAAGGGAAGTCTTGTAGGTTTGACATTGTCCTTGTCAATACTCAGTATCAATAAATGTGCAATGATTTTGTTATTTAGACAATCACTATGCCTGGTCCTGGGCACCCAGGGAAATAAACGCTGCAGGGAAGTTAATTGCTCACCCATTCGGCACATCTCGCAGAGCCGGCCTTGTTTTTATTTCCCTTTGTTTTCATTTGATTAGGCAGGAGGCTAAAGAAACTTGAAAACTGTCAACTCTTCTCTTTATTCTTGGATGTGTTACTCCCTGGATGAATCTAACGCCCAAGTCTCTCATTTCTTCGACGTCCTCAGCTCAGCAATCTTTTCCTCTTGCTCACCTGCAGTATCTACTCCCAAGGTCGTATCAATGACCTTGTCATCGGGAAACACTGCTGTGCCTCAGTTTCCAGTTCTTCTCCCTGACCCCTAACTTTCGCTTATTTACTTAGTGTGTCTGATTCACTCCTTGACTTCCAATTCACAGATCCTACCTTTATTTTTCTTTCTCCACCTACCCCAGATTCCGTGGTCTGTCAGCATAATCATTTACTCACAAACATTGAACTCCTTTAGCCTTTTTTCCCCCCATTAACTCACCTGGCTAACTTCCAACTAAACATCTCCTTTGCCGGGTTTGCTCCTGTGACCCTCAATGTTGCCCAACAAGAATCCACCACCTGTGGACCGGTCTCTCTTCAAAGTCAGGACCGGCACCTTGAGCCTGGCCCCGCCCAACTGTCCCGCTACTTCTTACCAGTGAGCGCACCTCACTCGCATGGACTGAGTTCAGTCAGACTCTAGCTGTGAGCTGTGAACTCCTCTGGAAAGAGAGACACACAGTGAGGAGTTCCTGTGAGAACGTCACGCCAACTAAACAGGGCTGCATATGCCCTGATATTTTACAGTCAGGACACTCTTCTATGTCTCACAGAACCTGCTGTGAACTATGGGGTTATCTGGACAAGTTCTCTTCACACCAGGAAGAGCAAAAACGTTTAATACCTGGGAAGTCAGAGACCAGAGCTTCACATCACATTTGTTTTTCTATCTATCTATCTATCTATCTACCTATCTATCATCTATCTATCTATCTATCTATCCTATCTATCCATCCATCCCCATCCATCCTATCTATCTATCCATCCATCCACATCCATCCATCCATCCAGCCACCCATCCATCTATCCTATCTATCTATCTATCTATCTATTTATCTATCCATCCATCCCCATCCATCCTATCTATCTATCCATCCATCCACATCCATCCATCCATCCAGCCACCCATCCATCTATCCTATCTATCTATCTATCTATCTATTTATCTATCCATCCATCCCCATCCATCCTATCTATCTATCCATCCATCCACATCCATCCATCCATCCAGCCACCCATCCATCTATCCTATCTATCTATCTATCTATCTATTTATCTATCCATCCATCCCCATCCATCCTATCTATCTATCCATCCATCCACATCCATCCATCCATCCAGCCACCCATCCATCTATCCTATCTATCTATCTATCTATCTATTTATCTATCCATCCATCCCCATCCATCCTATCTATCTATCCATCCATCCACATCCATCCATCCATCCAGCCACCCATCCATCTATCCTATCTATCTATCTATCTATCTATTTATCTATCCATCCATCCCCATCCATCATTTCTATCTATCTATCTATCTATCATCTATCTATCTATCTATCTATCTATCTATCTATCTACATCCATCCATCCATCCATATCCATCCACCCATCCATTCTAGCTATCTATCTATCTATCTATCTCCATCCATCCATCCATCCATCCATCCATCCATCCATCCATCCATCCATCCATCCATCCATCCATCCATCCATCCATCCATATCCATCTACCCATCCATTCTATCTATCTATCTATCTATCATCTATCTACCTTAACAGCTATCGCACCTCTACAAGCTTCTTTGTAAATATTAAGATGTAAGAGGACTCGTAAGGCCTGGGCCCTCACCGTTGCTATAGACGTTGCTTCTAAGGATCCACCCGCCACTGTTTTCAGGTGAAGGCCCTGCACTGCGAGGGCCGCTTTCCCCAGAGGATGGAAGAGACTGAGTGCCTGGCAGTCCCCCCCACACCCCCCACCCCCGCCTTGCTCCCTGGCTGTGCCGCGGCACCCCTTCCACATGGGGCCAGGCCCAGACTTCATCATAAAGGAACCCTGCTTTGTCCGCTGTGGCCGCCCTGTTTTGCTCCCCGAATCCCTCACCCTTTCCTGTGGCAGCGCTTCCTTGTTAGATCCCCCATGTGACTGCCTCGCTCAGGGTTTGCTCCCGGAACCGGATCTGGGGCAGCTGTCACCGGTTTCTGCATTTCTCCTTCGGCCAGGCCGACATCACGGCCTTGAACCTGGGGCCTAACAATGCCTCAGGGGGACAGGGCTCTAAACTGCTCTGGACACTGAGAAAGGGCCCACAACCACCATCCACGGGAAGCGACTGGAAGCAGAGGGCGGGCCAGGGGCGGGGGAGGAGGACGGAGCTGGGAGGAGTCTGGGCGCTTCTGCTGAAGGGACAGAAGTGAGCAAAGGCGGCCGCTGAAGGAAGGGCCTGCGTTAGAGGTGGACTATTTATTTATTTATTTGTATTATTTTTAAAAATCTTGTTATTAATTTTAGAGAGGAAGGGAGAGGTAGAGAGAGAGAGAGAGAGAAACATCAATGATGAGAGAGAATCATTGATAGGCTGCCTCCTGCACGCCCCCTACTGGGGATGGAGCCCACAACCAGGGCATGTACCCTTGACTGGAATCGAACCCGGGACCCTTCAGTCCGCAGGCCGAGGCCGACGCTCTGTCCACAGAGCCAAACCCGCTAGGGCAGATGTGGACTTTCCTAAAAGGGAGAGTGGGAAGGGGAGAGCTTATGGTATCAGTGAAAAGTGGGGGACTATAGTGCCAATAGACTCCTACAGGGGTGAGCGTCTCGAGGAGGAACAGTGACTTTTCAGGGAGGAATGAAGCGGGTGCTGTCACCCCCAGGGAGATGCCTTTCAACGTCTTGATGAG